ATCGTTGACGCCACAGCCCAATCGCCAGTGTGGTGAGAGGTACTTCCTGGTGCCATGTCAGACACCGAAGAGCGAGAGGAGGCCTTGGGGGGGCAGGAGGGTCCTGTGGGAGCAGGTAGTGATGAGTCTGTGGGGGCCCCAGGACCGGTAGTTGAAGGCCTTGATGAGGGCCTGGCAGCGGCAGGGCTAGAACAGGGCGACCGTGAGAGTAGCAGCGGAGAGGAGTCCGAAATCGGGACTGAGGAGGAGGATGAGGAGGAAGAGGAAGAAGAGGAGGAGGCGGCAGAATTGGGCGAGCCGGCCACAGGGGTGGACCAGCACCATTTCCAGATGGTTAACTTCCACTTCATGTACCTGGACTTGGTCCCCTCACTGCTGCGCCCCCTCTACCAGAACGGCCATGTCCTCATGCGTGCTCGAGGTCACGTCTCCCGGCACCTGCGCCAGGGCACGCCCAGCGAATCCCATTCGATGCCTGAGCTGTCTGCTAGTCTCCCCCAGGGCCTCCACTTGCCTTTGGCTGTCCAGAGGCCTGCGCTAAGCTTTGCCCTTGACCTCAACCTTGACCTGCCTGTGGCCAGCCTGCCACCCCAGCTGCATGAGCTGCCTGAGCTGCCCCAGGTCCTCCCCACCATCCAGGCCATCGAGGCTGCCCGGCCCACCGTCCTGGCCATCGAGGCTGCAATGCCTGCAGATCTGACCGAGGCCCTGGAGCCCAGCAAGCCCATAGACCAGGCCGATGCTGTGGAGTCCCGGGAGCCCACAGCCCAGGCCACAGCCTCTCAGGGTGAGCTTACATTTGGGAGCTCAGGGCTGCCTTGTGGGGAGGCGGTGGATGCCTGGAGGGAATGTGAGAGGTGGAGGCCGAGGGGGCAGGGCTGTGAGCAGGGGAGGCCCTGGGGCAGGTGGGTGTGCTGGTGGCAGGCGAGTGGGCAGGCTTCTTTGCACCCTTCTGTGGGAAAAGGTGGGCTTCGCACAAAGTGCCCAATCCTGCACCTACCTATACCCAATAAACCCCAGGGGAAAACAAAGCACCCTCCTTTCTAATGGGAATGGGGGCAGTGGGAGGGGCCTGGAGGAAGCGGAAACTCTGTGGGTGGCTTTGGTTTGTTGTTGAACACTAGAACAGCATAAGAAGATTTGGGAGGTTTTTTTATTGTTGGGCTATATTGGCTAGGATTGGGTTGAGATTTGTGGTTTGGGTTTTTATTGAAGATTGCTGGTCTATAATTTTTATTTTCAGTGATGTCTCTGCCTGGTTTGGGTCTCAGGTTTTGCTTGCTTCTTAGAATGAATTCAGGTTTCCCTTCTTTTCTACACACTGAAATTTGAGTAGAATTGGTGTCAGCTCTTCTCCCAAGGTTTTGTAGAAATCCCCACTGATCCGTCTGTACCAGATTATTTATTTTCGGTTTTCTTTGGGGTGGCGAGGTGGGGGTGTTTAATGAACTGATCAGTTTAATTGATTAGGGTCTGTACAGGTTTTCTACTGAAATTCAGTCGTCAGTCTGTCGGTTTCAGTTTGACAGACTGCAGTTCTTAATGGTATTCTGTTCACCATTTTACTTCTGTTGACTCTGTTGTGATGTAACCTATTTTTTTTTTCGTCACACCTGCTATTTGCACCTTTTAATTTTCTTTTGCTGGATTTGGTAGTGGTTTTTCAGTGCTATTAATCCTTTCAATGATGCGATTTTCTTTTTACTGGTTTTTTTTTCCATTTGTTTCTGCTCTAATCTTTATTATTTTTTCTGGTGACGGTAGACTTATTTTTCTTGCCTTTTTCCTAATTGTTGAGGTTGTTGGGTTAAGGTGTGGATTTTTGGTTCTTCTTTCTTTTGGAATGTATACTTTGGAGTATATTGCTCTCTGATCACTACTTTTGCTATGTACCAACAATTTTACTTTGTTTTCGGTTTGTTCTCATTTTATTCAGGGAATTTTTTACTTGCCAGTTTTAATTTCTTCAACTACCTAGTAATTTTATGTTGAATTATTTTATTCTGACTTGTATTTTTTCCTTTGATCTACTCATATTTTTAAACTTTTTCGTGTGAATTAGGTGAGATTTTACAGACTAGAATGTCATTCTTGCATTCAACAATTAATCAAAACTCCCAATGGCTTAACCTGTCTCCCTACTTTTTTTTCTCCCCCCCCCCATCACCTTCTTAGAGGATATTATCCTCCCCTTCCCCACAGTTAATACCTGTCTACCACCTAGCTTATTACTTTCCTTCCCCTCCAATCCCTGGTTTCTTTCAACATCAAAACATGTTTTGATTGTTTCAATAAAAGTAGTCTCATACAGTATTTGTACTTTTGTGATTGACTAATTGCGCTCAGCATAATGTTCTCTAATTCCACATTTATCATTATTTTTAACTTTGTGTAGTATTCCATTGTGTGTATGTACCAAAATTTACTTATTCCTTCTACCATTGATGGGCATTTAGGTTGTTTCCACCTTCTTGCAATTTTGAATAGTGCTAGGATGAACGTCAGTATGTATACATATGTTTGTGCATATCAAATGTTCCTAATTCTTTATGGTATGTACCCCATATTCCGATTGCTGGGTCTTATGGGTTTCTGTTCCTGATTGTTGAGGAATTACCATACCGCTTTCTGCAGTAGTTGGATTTTGAAGTGTTGACAGTTCTATAGATTTTAGAGATCAGTCTTTTGTCTGATATGTCATTGTCAAAAAAATTTCCCCACTGTATGTGTTATCTTTTTACTCTTTTTGGTGAACTATTTTCATGCACATGATATCTAATCGTTAAGTGGTCTCAGTCATATGTTTTCTATTCTACTATGTGTGCATCTTTTGTTCCTTTTGATCGTGTATTTATACCATGTGTCAGGGCCCTTAAGTTTCTCCCTGTTTTGTTTTTTATGTTCTTTATATTTCTAGTTGACATTTAAGTCTTTTATCCATCCTTAGTACATTTTTATATATGGAATGAGGTGGATACTGTTTTATTATTCTGAAAATTGAAACCCAACTGTTCCATCACAATTTGTTGCAGACTGTCTCATCCCCATTTAATACATTTCAGCCATTTGTCAAAAGTCAGTTGTCTGTAAGTAGATGGATTTATTTCTGGATCCTCTATTCTGTTCCATTGGTCTATGTATCTCTTGTTGTACCAGTACCAGACTGTTTTGACTACAGTGGCTTTATAGTAGAATTTTAAGGTCCACAAGTGAGAGGCCTCCTAATTTGCTTTTCCTTGTGTTTTGTTTATCTTTGTTCTCGTTTCTTTCCATATAAGGTTGAATATTACCTTTTCTATCTCTTTAAAGCAATAGTTCTCAACCTTCCTAATGCCACGACCCTTTAATACAGTTCCTCATATTGTGGGCCCCACCAACCATAAAATTATTTTTGTTGCTACTTCATAACTGTAATTTTGCTACTGTTATGAATTGGGCAACCTTTGTGAAAGGGTCGTTCAACCCCCAAAACGATTGCGACCTACAGGTTGAGAACTGCTGCTTTAAAGAATGGAACACAATCCCATTACATTTATAGATGTTGACTGCTGAATTTTATTAAATGGGATGGCTTTTGAAAATATAAAGATTCTAGGAACATTGATCCTAAGAAATGATGAACTGATAGGGTAGCACTTGGTAAATATTAAGAGGAGTGAGGCGCTATGAGCTTCACCATAAAATAGATCTTAGAAATAATCTTTCCCTAAGATAAGGTGACCAAAGCATACAGAATGTAGTCAGATCCCAAGGATTCTGATCTTTTCTTCTCCAAAAGGCCTCACATTCTTAGAAGCATCAGTTTGGGCAATTTCTGGAAAGAGGGAAATTATGTTACTGTGAAAACTATCAAGCAGCAGAAATGTGAAGACAGCTGTGTCAACCAGTAGGAATGTGCTTCTGCTCTCATTAGGGTAGAGAACTGGATGTCACTGTGGGTTGTGAGTTGTGATTATTTCTCCATAAAGTCTGTATTATTCCTAAATCTATATTAATCTTTACTAAAGAAATGACTCAGTATCTTCATGAAAACGCTGATGAAGAGGGCCAGAAATCAGGAGGGGAGGAAGAGAAAGAAGCTAAAGGAGAAAAGGACAAGGAAAATAAAGAACAAGAACCCGAGCACGATCTGGACCCAGGAGAGGGAACCTCCAGAAGTTTTAGGTATCTGTGGCAGCATTGAAGGGCCCTGGGGTTGTAGTAAGCTGTGAGTTGGGCTGCTAACCACTAGGTCAGGAGTTGTAACCCACTATCCACACCTGGGCAGAAGGATGAGGCTTCCTGCTCCCATAAAGATTTACAGACTCAGAAACCCACAGTGGCAGTTCTACGCTGCTCTAAAGAGTCAGTTTGAGTCGGAATTGACTGAGTGGCAGTGAGCTTGGGATTGTTGTAGTTGTTGTTTTATTTATGGTATGTGTGAATCCACGTAGCCTTTAGTTTCACCCAGCGGACTGCTATTTACTGAATACTGAGAACTTTAGTTTTATTTGTAATTTATCTCAGTAAATTAAGAAAAAGTTTATCTAAAAGAAGTTTTAAAAGTCAGTTCAGTTTAGAGTATATCTTTTTTAAAGCTTTGTACCTACTAATAAGCAATTTGTTCTGAGAAACATTTTTTGGTTATTCAATTGTTCTGACAAGAGCCTTTTTCCTTCATCATGAGATTTACCAGCTGGTGGTAATGTGTCAGACTTATAAAACAGTCTAAACTCTTGCGCCTTCATCACTTGGCCATGAATATTTAGTTTCTGACACCAATGAGGGGTCGATGCCTTTTAGAATGTGACTAACAAATAGTAAAAGGTTGAAAATTCCAAGTAGGCCTACATTTGATTATTACTTTAACTAAATATTTGTTCTGTTTTAGGTTTCCATATTTTACATGTCAGTCAAAAGGAAAGAGACTTAGTAACATAGTACACTTATTGTTGGTCAACATGTCAGTCATTAAATCTTAAGGGATATTGTAGAGTGTATTTTGATGATTAACATTTCTTTTGCCTTTTCGCAGCTGTCTGCTTCCTACCAAAGACTTCTCTCCCATCTAACTAGTTGTAGAAACTGAGTGTACGGAAAGGTAAGGAAGAACCACGTCTAGAACTCTCACAGGTTTCTACGAAGTAGTATAAAATGGTGTTGGACTCATCATCAAAAAGAAAATTTCAAGATTATTTTGAAGAATGAAATAAAAAATTAATGTTGTCATAGGGAAACGAAAGACGCAATGTATACACAGCCCATAATGGTCTCTTAAACAACAAGCATTTAAGATTTAGGCAATGAACAAATGCTCAAAGTCATCAGGCGCACAAGCAGCCTGATACCAAGGGGTGCAGGTTACAAGAGGAAAAGGCGCTCTGTGTTCCTGCTTGGGAAGGAGTGCGCAGATGCAGCAGACATATTTGGGGCTGTTTCCTTACACTGAGAAAATCATAGGTGCTCATTACTGGTGTGTGATTGTTTACTTTCTTTTCTTCATACAGATGGGAGAAATAGAAACAAATGGATGAAAAAAGAAGCACAAATTTGTTCTTCATTATTTTAAAGTTTGCTTCATTATCCTGTAGCCCCAGGGAATTTTATCAACACTAATTTTATTCTAAGTCCATCACCCCAATGACATCTGAATTATTTTCTTATATATAAAAAATGTATTATATTAAAGTTAAAATTAAAGATGTTTAATCAGAAATATGAGGCTTTATTTCATGAAGGGTAATGTAACCATGAGGAATTAGGAAAACCCAAGTGAAGACTAAGCATGATAGTGGGACAAGAGGAAAGTCAAAAGAAATAGAGGAAAGAACTAGGTGGCAAAGGGCATTTACAGAGGTCTAAATAAAGACATGTACATATGCAAATATATTTATATATGAGGATTGGGAAAATAAATCTATGCATATATTTATAGGTTTAGTATTAAGGTAGCAGAAGGACATTGGACCTCCACTCAAATACTCCCTCAATGCAAGAATACTTTCTTCTATTAAATT